AGTTGCAGAATTATAAGGTGAATGAACAACATAAGCATAGGCCACAGGCAGAGGAGATGTAGGAACCAGGCTGCAGCTGCCTTCAGATCTGTTCCTCAGATAGCCTAGAAATGTTTTACATGTGCAGTACAGATAATCAGAAATCATGCCAGCCTTAAACTGAAGGAGTGCTAAACTGATCAATATGACAAAATGTTTTGAAGTAGCATTAGCTTGCAAAGCTGCTCAAATCTGTTTCATTGAGGATGTGTTAAAATTAATTTTAATGCATTTTAGCAAGTGTGTCAAAAGAATTCTGAGGGGAGAAGTCTATTGATACAATCACTCACCAGACCCAGAGTGAACGGTTTTACAGCCTGGCATATAAAAACAAATTTTGTCTATTTAGCAAGATGCCCTAGGAACCAATTTTCTAGAGCCATTGTAATTGCTCACCATGAAAATTGCAGGTTGTGTTCAAGAAAGGCTAAACACCAGCAGAACCTTTGTGCGTTTGCTCCACTTTCTGCCGAGCAGCTTTGGCTGCAGCTTTCTGAGCATCGAATCTCATTTACAAGGTGACCCAGAACACAAAACCTTGTAATTAGCCTCAAAACCCAACCTGCTTTCTCTCCCTGCCTGCCAGCCTTCTGCTGCCCTTGGTTGCGATGGCAGCGTTTTCCCAACAAAGGGGGGTCTCATGCAGAAAGAGAGCAGTGGAGCCAAGATATTCAGAGCTTTTGCATGCAGCCAGATAAATATTCATGATTCAACTGTGTGCTTAAGAGCCGCTTTTTGAATTAAGTTCTGAGGCTATTGTTCACCCTCAAATAACACCAAGAAGAAACTTTTCCTTACTTAAAAATAAACAAATTCCTAGATAGACTGCAAATGTGAAATTACCTTCCTTCCCCAAACAGCAATAAGGAGGTTCGAGAGAGGAGGAAGAAGGATGAATCAGGTGCTTGACCAGTGTAAATTGGCCTGTTGAGATCTGTAAAACCTCCCCAGCTTTCACTAGGTGACAATTTTGAATTTTTTTCTTTACCTTGAGATGGTATAACAACCAAAATATCTGAATGTGCTTTGGCACCAAAAAAAAAAAAATAAACCAACAAAAAAGGTAAAAAATTTTAAAAGTACTCTGGGATGATTTTGACAGCATTTTTTGAAATAGTTAACATATATGCTGACCAGGGCTCATTGTAGCTCATAAATCTTATAATCATCAAAAAAGATGCTGTACCTTCAGCAGAACACTGATTACTATAATACATCTTTCTGCCATAAACTGACTGAGGTGCAGATACAAAAAAATAGAAGGACTTGAGTGGTAGAGATCAACTTCAGGTTCGGTGACATTAAAACATCTAAAGGAAAAGGGAAAAACTGAGGAAGGAAGACTGCTTCTATCTGGGTATCCACATTTGGATTAAGAATTTGATATTTTTTAACCAGTGTATGAATGTTATATCTTAGTGGCACGCTGCTGTAAGGTGAAAGACTGAGAAGTACTCTATCACTACAAAGTACGTTTTGGTTTCTTCTGAATAATACAAAGCAGACTGTAATTCATTATTGAAATAACAGAATTTACTTAATGTTGAAATTAATAACTTATGTAGTTGCTTAGCAACTCAGACATTACTAACATCCTTAGCTAGGTATTGAGTTCCTTTTCTGAATTTCTGAGAGTATCTTTCTTTTCATTTAAAGTTTTGGAATAGCTTCCCTGCCTCTTCTCCTCTAAACCCAAGGCCCTCCCCTTCTTTTTCTCTCTGTACAAAAGGTAGCCTTGATTTAGGGGAAGTGATTCCACAGAATTAAAATCTGATCTATTTGATACATCTCTATGGCCTTTGAACCGTTTATGAGGAAAGACAGCTGTCTTTTGTTTTCATTAAGTAATTCGGTTAATTTTAATTTATTTTTTTAACCTCTTCTTTGTCCTGAACCACACATGTTGCTGATGTGACTGGGATAAGCAGAAAAATGGACTTCATAGGATATGGGAACAAACTTACCTTTCATGCTGTAAAAGAGAACTTTGCACCACACTTGCATCAGATGTGCGCAGTGAAATGACAAGAGAAAAAATTTCCAGCAACAAGGCAGAGCAATAGAAATGTCAGTGAATGTAAGGAAGGAATTCTTCCATGGTGAGAGTAGTTAACTACTGAAACAGGCTGACCAAAGAGGTGGTGAATTTCCTTCCTTGGCAATTCTCATGACTCACCTGGATGACTTCCAGAAATCCTTTCCAATCATGTTTTCTGTGATTTCATCTAGGGGACAAGTTATTTGTATTTTTTCTGTGATTTCTGCACCAGGAACACATTATGGATTACTTTCCCCACTGAAATACATTATGAAGATGACTAGGCCCCATGGTGAGGCTTAGGTAATGGAACAGAGAAAGTAGGGAACATAACAAGAGAAACTGCCAAACATAACAAACTGCAGAGTGAGCAGCTGGCAAATATTACACTGTAACACCATGAAAAACAGCTGTACTTCACAGCTGATTATGGGGAACTGTGTGAGAGGACAACCTCCCCAGCTAATTTTAGGAGAACTGAAGGGCAATATTGGAGTCTTTTTGGGGAGTGGAATCTTGGGGAAAAAACCCACAGTGTGCAGGTTACCATATCACTAAACCTTGTAGAGGTTTGAGAAAACTTTTTAAGGAAAGGGTTGTCAAGCATTGGAACAGGCTGCCCAGGGAAGTGGTAGAGTTGCTATCCATGAAGGAATTTAAAAAATGTGTAAATGTGGCACCTGGGGACATGATTTAGAGGTGGACTTGGCAGTGCTGGGTTAACAGTTGGACTGGGTGATCTTACAGGTCTTTTCCAACCTTAATCGTTCTGTATCATGTAAGGCTGAGATGTAATAGCTAAAGGTATCAGAAATGCCAAATATGGTTATGGATGTAGCAAAACTGGAACCAATGGAGAAAAGGTAACTACAGTGTTTTATTTGGGAGGAGACAAGGGTGGGAAAAGAGATGGATCAAGGTGAGGGGCAGGAATTACAAGTATGGGAAAATGGAGAAAAGTGTGGAGAGATGAGGACAGCCATGTAAAAGCAAGCTGCTGGTTGATAAGGCTGTCTGATCAAGTCCTGCAGTTTCTCTTACCTTCTTCCTATATCCTATTCTTTACTATATTTTTTCCTGTGCAGTCTCAGTCTCTAGCCTCTGTTTTTGTGGAGAAGTCCAAGTGTCAGAAGCCAGAGAAGAGGCCTTGGGTCACAAGGGTTCACAGTGCCAACAACAGGACAGCACAGGATGTAGACATCCCTCTGTGATGAGGGACAGGAGATTAGGGTTGGAGCCTATGAGTTGCCAATGTAAAATGGAAGACTTGGCAGAGATGCTTCTGGGAAGAGCTGATAGCTGATACCCAGCCATTACAGCACTCATTCCTTAGTCCCTCCTTGTTTCAGGTGGGACAGGATCAGGCTGAATACCTTCAGCAGGAGCAGAACTTGAAAAGCTAGGTATAAAATGTTTTGCCCTATTCAGTAACATGACATTTTTAACCTTGACATTTCTGATCCAAACATACATAATGCTGGCAAACAACAGAAAAATCAGGAGGAGGGCTGAGGGAAAGAAGTATGCAGCAGTAGATGTTTGCTTATTCTTAATTGCTTGGCTGCCATGGAGATAAGCATAGTGGATAGTTCCAGCAGGATCTACTGTTATTTTTGCACATGCAATTCTATAGCTCTGTGCATGTCTATCAAGCCTTACAAATGAAGTATTTCAGGAGAGATTTGCTTTAAGAATTCTGAACCTCACATCTACAAACTGTATTGTCTTTCAATGGTCTCTCAAAGACTTGAGATAAAGGACTGTCTCTCCATAGCTGAGATTTTGAAATGAATTTTGAAGAACAAGAATTTTGTCTGTGAGTTTTTATAAATTCTTTAACTCTATGACTTAGTTCTGTGTTTATTTCTTGTATTTCAGTAAGGCTTAGGAAGCTGAGCAAAAAGGGGAAGATGGTGGCAAACTATTTACATTTTATTTGAGATTTGATTCCTCTTTCCATAGGGAGCTCTTCCAGAAGGAGGATTTCTACACTTGACATCTCTGGACTGGTTCCACAGCTGGGAGGAGTATATCTGCACATATAGACCACCATTCTTGTTTAAATTAGTGCCTCTGGAAGGCTTAATAGGAATATACTCATTGCCTCCATATATTCTGATGCCTACAGAGAAGAAAGTCCAGCACCTTGAGAGCCTCTCCAGCTCATAAGAAAGGTTGAGGCATGGCACAAGCTTTAAGGCTTGCTCTCAAAGTCTGTCATGCCTTCACTCGGACTGGAGGAAAGCATCTAACCCACAGTTAAAGAGCAGAAATACACAGACTGAGATGACAGCATGAACAGAAACTGATTTACATGAAAGCACCCTGAGACAGACCAGAGCACAGGTTGGAAGAATGGCCAGCATCCATGGCCAATGATGTATGTGACAGAAATAAAATCAGTAGCAACCAAGAAGGTGCTGCTTGCAGCTAGGCAGCAGGACAACTGCCTCAGCAGAAGAAGACCAGCACTCTGACAAGAGAATGGCTGCACGGTTATATCATGTGAGCTGTGCCCCTCTCATCCTGGAATTCCAACAAGAAGACAGACTGCAGCCACAAGACACCCAAAATGAGGAAATAATAGAAAATGGGCAGCCGCCTTGTCTAGCATTTTTGGAGGCTGTTGTAAGTAAATTCCTGAGGTAAAAGATTATGTTTCAGTAACTGGGGACTCTTGAGGGGTTCAAAATAATTGGCCCAAAACAGCTACCACCAAAGAGATTTCAGAATACACAGCAAGGATTCAGCAGCTGGCACATCTCATTCTTCATGTTAAGCAGAAGTGATCCATCCCATAGTACCAGTGTACAGGTTTATATGAAGAAGAATGATAGAATGGGTGTAGAATAAGTTTTGTTTAAAATTAATATCACCTTTCCTTCTCATAGGGTTTTGTATTGCTTTTCATTACTTTAATTCGAAAGGGTTACAGTCCTTGTTTTTTGAATATATCGTTGTCATATTGGGTAGTCAGCAGCTTCTAGGCAAGTGTTCTAAAACTTGAGCTATAGTTGCCATAAATCTCTGATTCAATAATCAGTAATTATTCCATACAAAGTAGGACAGATTGGGATGCTGAGGGCTTTTAAACTCAGACTTCCTGGTATCAAGAATGTTCCACCCTTTTATTTGTGGGGGTAAGGTCTGACAAATTAAAGGAAGGTTAATATGCACATGCAAAGGATTGGATTGAGGGAGCAGGATTGAGCAGTGGTACTCCAGTTCTACTTACTCTAGTCTTATTGCAAAAGCCTAAAAGTGATCTCTGGCCCTTCTCTCATTCACACACATTTATCATATCCTATGAAGTTTGGTGCAAGAAAGACTCCTGCTATCAGCAGGATACTTGTTGGTTTCTTGCAGTTCAAATTAGCCTGTGAGGTGCCACTTGGGAAACTGCAATGTAGTTTCGTGGAGGGAGTGTTCAAAAAGAACCTTAGATCCTGAGGCAGGATCCACAGGCAGGGAAACACCGTCTCTGCAGCATTGTCTCTGATGTCAACCTCAGGGCTCTTTTATAAAAGATGACAGCACTGCTTTCTCTACTCACTGTGTTCTCTTTTCTCCTTAGCTGCTGTCCGGGTACTAGGTTAGACCATCCTGTACAGGACTTTAAAGAATGTGGATTGTTAGCATACAAACACTGGCACTTCTAGCCAGATTTTTTAGGGCTTAGGCATCAAGCAAAATGGAACTTTTGAGAGTCTAAAATTGGAGTCTAGGCTCCAGGAGGGATAACTGGACAACACTTGAGTACATAACTCCTTGCCTTGCTAGCTTTATTAATACCACTTCTTCCTTCCTGCACTTTGACCTTCTCAGAAGATCATCTGGTTTTTCCCAGACCAGCACCACTTTTGAAACAAGAAGAGAAGGTGATATGTTCATGCTTGACACAAATGCAGTGCAACTAACCCTGTAAATCAGAATACAGGTGGAAATGATTTGATTTGATTCCCTTCTTCTAATTGAATAACTCATTCTTACTTTTACTTGAACACAAAGAGGCTTAAACAGCACTGTGGCTGCAATGGTCACCTATTTAATTACACTTTCACTATGTAAGTCAGCATGCAAAGGGGACACCATAGGCTGTAGCTGTAGAAACTACTGAATGGAACACAGTAACTTATTCTACTACTAAATATTTATAACTTTATGAATTCTTAGCTCACCTTTGTGACACTCATCAGTTTTGTTGTAAGTAATAATTTGTTGGGAGCATGTCTCTGCTTTGTGATAGAAGCCAAATGTGGATTATAATCGTAAGCATTTTAATTAAATGTGTATAGAAACAGTCAAACAATCCAAGCAAGGAATATTATGTACAGACAGGCAAATACACAAGCAAAAATATAAACATGTAACAAGCAACACATGGACAAATACCAATGATTCTACTGGAAACTGGGTAAAGATCCCAGATCAAATCTATCAGTGGAGGCTCTCAATACAGACAGATTCAAACCCATTCATGTGATGCTGCATTCAAGTCTATGTGCAAAGAAGAAGCACACCTTGTGTATAAAGGCCAAGAAGTTATTGTTAGCAAAGGTAAAATCTTAAGTCTAATTCAGAAATCATTATTGGCCTAAATGTAATTATTACAGACAAAAACCTGCAGGTAGAATATTTATGTACAGATAAAAAGCCATAGTAATAGCAGTAATACAACTGTAATTGTAAAGCACACACCTTTTAGTTTCTGACGTTTTCTTAGTGTTATCCTCACTCTTCTATCATTCTTCTGTGTTTGAAGGTCAGCAGTTTCATGCTGGTGGTAGCAGGGGAGGGAATATTAAGGCAAGTGGACAACAGGTGGAATCCTTTACCAGGAGAAATATGATGTTCATTTTGACAGTATGATATGTATAATACTGTGCACACACAAATTGTGTGTTTGCTAACATGCCTGTACACTTTTCTCTTTTGTCCTTGGTCTGCAGCTCCAGGTTACATAGCACCATTTATATTAAATTTGTATATTTAATTATGTATGTTATATACTATTTCTTTGCTCTGCTTCCGGGCCCTAACCCCAGTTTTGTCCAGGTCTGCAGATTAATTGATCATGACTGATCTTTTTATAGCATGGGGTCTCCAGTGCCAATCCTGTGCCCCATCTCTTCTCATTCTGTAGCTGTAATCCTGTCTGCCACATCTTGTGGTTGTCATTGCAGACATGTATTTATTTACTCAATAACATTTTATTTGAGTTGTAAAATTCTCGGTCTACCTGGAACAACTGCTTGTTACTGTCACCTATAGCAAACAATGCTTCCATCACACAAAACAGATCTGGTATAGATACAGCAGTTAGAAAAGTTGCTGCCACATCCAAACCACATGAAATAAAGCTGCGGGCAGGTCACAAGAGACTAAGAGCAGACAATCCTCAGTCCTGAGCCCTTGCAGACTCAATACCAGGCTTATGGCACTTCACTAGCAGTGACAATATCACATTACAGGGCTACAGTTACACTGGCATGGTGCCAAGGGAAAAAGTGACTAGGCAAAAGCAACACAAAGGCACTACCTGAACTCCTGTCACAGTTATGAAGCTTCGTGCCTGTGGCAGGAGGATGGCCTTGTGCCACAGGGAGCAATAAGTGTGAGGGAGCAGCAAGGACAAGGCTTCTCCACAATAGGTGACTCAGGAGCTGAGGATGACCACATCACAGGCAGGAACAGTTCCCTTTTCGATCAGAACAGATTTCAGCACCCAGGTCCAGCAAGTGGTAGTTTTCCTTCCTACCAATAACATCTCCTTCTCAGGTCTTTCATTTCTACTTCTTTGAAGCCATTCTTGATCCTGGTTTAATGACACTCTTGTGTGTCTTTGTGAGAAATGACTGTCTGGTGTGCTTAGATTCCGAGAAGAATTTATCGTTTTTCTTAGGTTTGTGGAGGGTGTTTCTAAGGGCAGAAATTCAACTTACGATGTGTTGCAAAGGACACTTTGCTCTTCTTCAAAAATGGATGGAAGTAGTGATGGAGAACATCATCACAGAAAGATGATAGAGAAATAGGTCAGCATCAACATGTGCAGAGGTGGTAGAGTTAAAAGGGAAAGGTATGGATGGGCTGCTAGCATGGGGAGAGGGCTGTTCTATGATTGTGTTCTTCCTGTTGTTTTCAGGAGCTGAACAGCTGGGGAGCTTTTGCTCCATATGCTGATGACAGCATAGATCTTGCCACGCAGAAAGCAAGTACCTGTGCCCTATTCCTACATCCAGTGTCTCATTGCTGTCAAAAAACCACCCTGATGTTGGGGGCTGTTTCTGGAAGAAACTATTTCACAGAAACAGGAATGGTCTGTTCAGGCCCATGTGACTGTGCCTGTGGGCATAGTGGAGTGGCTTTGGTGCTCTTCAGGGATGAGCATGTTGCATCATCTATAGAGATCTGCAGCAGAAGGCTTTGGATAAGTTTGCCTAGAAAGGGAAGACCTTAAAAGCAATGGTGAATGCCAAGAACGGTAAGCGTTGATGGCATGGGACAGAGAAGGTTCTCAAGATCTCCCTGCAATGCTTTTACTTGCCCAGATGGGAAAAGTGCAGGAAAGACAAAGGGAAGGTGAACCTGCTGTCAGCCAAAGAGCAAGGAAAGAGTGCAGTCTCCAGACAAATGCTTTAAACCTGCAGGTACAATGTTGCTGGCGATTCCAGAAATGTGACTGGTTATTGTCAGGGTGAACAGAAGCTCAGAAAGTTTCTTCTATGAGTACTGCTCTGATATCTTCAGTTTCATGTCCTGTTGTTGACACTTTAGTTGTTTTTCCTCTCTTCATTTGTGACATTACCCCAGGTGCTCTGCCAGCCCATATCCATTCAGCTGGACTGCAGACCTCCACCAAGAGATCTGGGTATGCACCACTGCTTATATGTGGGAGAAAAATCTGTCAATACAATAGAAATCCGTATTGGGTTTTTTTCATGAAATAAATATGAGAATAGCTTCCCTATATCTGCAGCATGACAAAGCCATAAGTTGACTCACATAACTATTTGTGTGAGTTCTTCTGTGCCAAATCACTGTGGTCAGAAGCTGCTAAGGGCCCATGTATTAACTGGTAGAGATACTACAGAACTTTATTGGCTGGAATTTTTATTTTTTAAGTCAAGAGAAGGAAGAGTGTTTTAAAAAGGGCTGAAAAGTGCTAAAGGCAAGGTCAAAATCATCCACTGCTCTCCCTTTGTTCACAAGTCCAGTCATTTTATCATAGAGAGCAATCAGATTGTTCAGGTGTGACTGATGCTTGGTAAACCCATGTTGATTCTTCCTAATTACTTTCTCCTTCATGGTCCCAGCAATGTGCTCCAAGGAGCCTTGGTCCAGGATTTTTACAGGCTGGCCAGCCTGTAATTCCTGTTCCTTGCTCTCAGATACTTGTAGGCACTCTTGACCCCACTGATCTCCTCTGGCAGTGTTATTGGCGCCCATGTGGATGAGCAGCAGGGAGAGATAGCCCAAGTTCCTTGGTAGTTCCTCTGCTACATCTTGGATCTGAGCCCCTGGCAAGCCATGAATTGATCTAGAGATCAAGCCAAGGAGGCAGATGGGGGCTTCTGTCCACCACAAATGGAAACCTACCACTACTGTCCCCTGCCATGGCCTCCTGTCAATAATATGCGGTTTATGCATGGACAACTTGGATGCTTCCATAGGTGCAACATTCTGCTTCTCTCCTGCTAACAAGTCACCAATCCTGTTCTAAAACTGTCCTGCAAGTGGAGAAGGAGCCACCTTCCAAGTGCCAGAAGTCAGGTTAGGCAAATCAATTGTATTTAATTCAGTAAAATTTTTTTCTTAATTATCTTTCCCTTTGATGTTTCATATTACAAAGACTAAGCTCATGCATTAATGCCTCACTGCTACTTGTGGCCAGTCTTGAATCCTTGGTTAAATAACAGGGAAGTCAGTCTACAGTT